ACATTTGAAAAAAAGGAAGTAGGGAAGATGGGGAAGTAGGATTTGTTTTTTACGAAAGAAGAATACACAGAACAAAGAGTCAGATGAGAAGAATTCATACCTAGCTCTGTCACAGACTCACCATATAACTGCAGGCAAATGAGTTATTAAACCATTGTTAGCACCGGTTACTTGTAATACTCAAATGCCTCCAGGGGCCTTGTTGTGCTAGGTCCCCACGTACAACATTATAAAGATAGCTCTTGTCCCAGGAAATTCATGGTCAAAAACACAAGAAATAAAATCAACAATAGAAGATAAGCCAGTTCAAGTACAATACCATACTTTGTATTACCTGCAGCAGTCACAGCTGTAGGTAACACATTTGGGTCTGAAAACAATATATACCCATTGTGGTTGCAAGAATGATATGAAATTAATGTAATACCCAGCCAGGGCCAGCTCCTACACACTGCATTCCCATCATCTGATTTCAGTCTTCTTTACTGTTCTTTCCCAGTTCATCTCCAAACCTGTTTTTCCCATCCCTTAATGGCTTCTTGCCCAGCCTCATCCAGGCTCTGCTCCCCTTCTCTTAGCAGTTCACATAAAATCTTGGTACATAGATTTATATGTCTTGTGCTCATAGTTCATCTTCTAGCTCCATTTTATAGCCCTGGCACAGAAAGTGAGGCGGAAAAGTAAAGTAGAGGAGAAGTCAGGACAATAAAAGGAAATAGATAGCAGTTTCCCTGTCTTAGGGTGAGCAGAAGGAAAGTGAAATCTCTGTTTGAGCAGCTAGGGGAAGGCATGTGTTTTACTTGCATTACAAAGGTAGTCTTTTCAATATAAAATCATCAGACATGCACTGGCAAAGGAATAAAGGGGGCTTAAGGGAAAAGCAAAAGCAAAAGAAAAAAAACACTGTTTGATTTCTTTAATCCAATTAATTCCTCGTTCAGACTCAATTTTTGATCTTCCGAAGTTGGTAAACTAGGTGTGTGTGTGTGCATGACAATAAAACAGAGTGACTATAGACCTTTCTTAGGCTCCACTCCATTGTCTTCACCACTAGAGACACCTTGTAAGGACTTGGAATTCTGCTCCCATTCAATATAATTATTAGCAAAGTGAAGTCACGGCCTCTTAGCATTCCTCTTGCCTTGCACCGTGACTTCCAGTTTAAAAGGGAATGTTCATGAAGTACTGGAAGAGAAAGAAAAGTATGTGGGGTACAGTGACAATGCAGAGTTTCTTAGCCCAGTCAGGAATTGAAAAGAAGGATTTATTTTGGGAACTGTGAAGAGTTGGAGTCATATAGGAGGTGCTTCTGTGTTGATTTAGCAGCAGATAAAGGATGCTTTCCTCCATTCAGACCAAGTCCTGCTGCTCCAGGAAAGGTTGGGCCTTGGTTGTAGTGTGATATGTATCTAGAAATTTGGGAAAAGCTAGTTTTAGAGTGGTACTAATGTACTTCCTATTTATATCTAGGAGGATATATACATCCTCCACCTCTGTAGCATCCAAGTGCCTCCTGGAAGAAAGGGAAAACAAACAAATAGAAGAACTTTAGTTCACTGAAGATTCACACAAGCAGCAGCAGCTTTTAGCTGGAAGGGCAAGACTTATTACCCACCCTGTCAAAACACACAACTTGGTTCAGGCTGTACTAGGTCTGAGCCTAGAATATTTGCAAACCCATGCAGAAAGCACAAAAAAAAAAAAACACTGAACTTTTTATTAACACGAATGAGCAATAAGAATGTAGCAGACTTGCCTTTCGGAGTTTGGGTTGAGTCCCAGGCTTGAAATCTTGCTATTTTCATTGGTGGAGCTCATCCACCAATCAGGAGGCAGCAAGAGGAGTTAAGTCATTCCCCTTTCCTGAGGGGAAGGGGAGAGAAGTTCCCCCCCCAGACACACTCCTGGACCTGATTGAAGACTGCAACACTGTCAGGTCCGGAAGACTGCAGGGGCGGAGCCCTAGAGCATATAAAAGGAGCTGTGTGCCCAGCATGAGGAGAACACATCCAGGACAGAGAAGAACAGGGTTAGAAGAGCTGAGAAGAGCTGCTCAGCAGGGCAAAGCCATAGCCCAGAAGCATCCCTGAAGGCTTCCATCAGTGGGGAATGGCAGATGACTCCAGCAGCTAGGCTCTCAGTGTGCAGCACAGCACACGGCGTCCAGACCCTGGGAGCTGTGTGAGGTGGCTCAGGTCCACAACCTCTGGTGTGAAGCCAGAGACACAGTGCACAGGCCAGTGCACGGAGTAGGACCTTTAGAGCACTTGGGCGGCTCAGGTCCTCAACCCCTGGAACGTGGCTGGGAGGTCGGTGCAGGAGGCGCTGCACGGAGGGCCCGGGAGCAGACCAAGCCTGGTGCTGCATGAGGCAGCCCAAGCCTCCAACCCATAGCAAAAGGTTGAGTCCAGGGAGCCAGATGGTGATCGGGCTACTGAGCCAGCTGACAGGCCCACGCCAGAAGCCCTTCATAGTGGAGCCCTGTTTCAGGGGACAGTGACCCTGCTGAAGCCCACTGCAGGTGAGAGAGCAGCTTGGCACAGAGGACGAGGGCCATCCTCCAGGCCTGGGAGCTGTGAGTTGCAGGGAAAAAAGGATTCCCACAGGGGAGGGGGACTCCCCCCTGGTTAGTCAAAGGTTTCTGAAAGTGGAGGCCCCACTGGGAGGGCCCCCCTAAAGTTATCAGCTTCCTTGTAGGGCTTGGGAAAAGCCCAAGAGCACTAGGGCTTCCCCTCGGGATTGAGTTTATCTTTGGGGTTCTTGCACCATCAGTGGTGTGATGTCGTGCCTTATATTTTGTGAACTCGCATGTTGTAAATTAGTAGATTAGTAAAGTTCTAGGGCTCAGCTGGGACCCCCTGTTGCTATCATTTCACCTGTTGTTTATTTGTATTTATTTGTGGCTTAT